TGTCACCCGGTCCCCAGACCGGGTGACACCCTGCCGTGTTGTCATCACGCATGCGCGACCATCTGATTGACGCCTGCCGGCGGCCATCTTAGTGATGGACGCCTGCAGAGAGACAAGGGGACAGTTACCCGGCGGGATGAGGTATGCCGTCGGGTCCCCTCCTCCCTCCTGACACTGTTGGGCTCTCGGTCCATGACCGAGTGCCCGACTTTTTAGAGGGGGTGACACCAAAATGACTGTCAGTTATTTTGGTGTCACCCCTGCAATGGTGAAACCTGGGTGCGGGCCGCACACCCCCCACACCCCTCTTGTGACGCCACTGACTACCACCCAGGCCAGGATGGGTTCAGAAATAACAGTCCTCACAGGTCATTACATGAGCGCCACTCAGTGCTGGATGAATGCCCCCCCTTGTGCGTTTGCCAGAATAAGCAGAAGAGCCAGGGATGACATCACGGGAGAAGACATAAAGAATAAGTATATATAAATCCTTATTAAGGGAGAGGGGAGGATAATCATCCTGGAGTTCTGCTATAAACTGGAAAAGCTTCCGACAGATATATAAAATCTACAAATTGATCCAGTTATCTATAAAAGTATACCTGAACTCTAAAAGTGGAAAATGCTATTAGACTGTAGATTGAACAACTAGGAAAGATAATTGTGCCTAAAAAGCACCCTGATAATTGACAGTTACTGATGCATTTCTCCTGAAAAATAAAAGTGCACTTAATGGCATGTGAATGCGCCGAGTCACTCCTGTGTCTACAGCCTAATAGATGTACATATATCTGCAGTGTGAGATCTAAGGCACTGCTGCCTCTGCTAGCCCCAGGAGATTTAGAGTGAGATTTGGTGATTTGTCTCTACTGTGTTCCATGAGGACAAAGCGCCCAACCTTTCCAGACTCTATCCAAAGCAAAAAATAAAAAAATTGCCTTCATGTACACTTAAAAGCTAAACTCCAAGCACAAACACTTTCATTTCAACATATTCCCCAATAGCCACAAAGGATATAAATCCACTTTGTGTGCATCAAACACTTTTGCAAAACCTGTGGAGAGTGCAGAGCTGTGGGTGGGAGCCAGCAAGCTCCACCCACTACAGGCTGCCTGCAGAAAACTACAGGAGGGGGCAGAGACAAGACTAGTCACCCTGCCCACGGAGAGAGAGCAACAGTGACTGGTCTTTATTACAGGGAAGTTTCACACTAGATTACTGCACAGATCTGGAAGAAATACACAAAGCTCACCAAGCTTCGAGTAAGAATACACACGTCTCTTGTATTTAGACAATATTTGGAGTTGAGATTTAAGTTGAGGTACAAAGACATCTCTTTATTAAATATATTTAAAGCCAACATTAGGATCCAAGTATTCAGTGGCTTTGGCCAAGGCCAATATGTTTTTTTTTCTTTTTCTAACCAGCAGGAGAAATACGATGGCCACATTCTGATTGGTTGATATGGCTAGCGTCTACTTTCCTAACACTTTACTTTGCACTGCTGTTTGCACAGCAGCCTCTCTGCCTGCGTTAGGTGAAGGGTCCACTTAAATTCAAAGGAAAGTTCACATACAGGAAGAATTGTTCTGCGTTAGCTTCCTGCTGTGGGTTACAGACTTGCCTCGAACAAAAAAGGCTTTTCGTACGAGGAGTTTAAATTCCTGGAGTTTCTAAAAATATGATTTATCATGAGAAAAATCGTTTTTAATGTTAACAGCCACCAGTGTGTTCAGTGGTATTTAATACAGAGCTAAGCGTGTTAGCCCCCAGCAGATAAACGTTCAGCCCCCCCTGTGTTTAAGTTCTACGTCTCCTGCGGTGCCCCGAAACTGTGCATAATCTGGATACACTTAATCCTACGGGTCAGACGTGTCTAGAAAAGTTCACAGATGCAAGAGCGGGGAAGAATATTTTCTTAACATGCTAGGTCAGCGTATGATGAAGCAAACAGGCTTATCTCTAGGACATGCTCCTAATATGGCTTCTAGTCACATAGTTCTCTGCAAAAATACTCAGCAGAATGCAGTTTATTAAAGGGGAATTGCACTTTTTAATTACATAGTCAGGTTGAGAAAAGACACAAGGCCATGGAGTTCATCCAATAGAGCAATTTACTACCACAGGGGGAAAAAAAATTCCTCCTCATCCTTCAAGGTAATCTGATATTTGATGGATCAACACTCTCTGCTCTGATTCACTTATAAAGGTAGGCAGTCCCCGAGCTACATACATCCGACTTATGTACGACTCCTACTTACAAGCAGGGCTAGTTGTAATGCTACCGTACTCGTGCCGACGAGAAGTGCCCATCTTTTTGGGTCTGGTTTGTAGTACTGTACGTACATTACAGGAAGTTGGCTCTTGTTAGACGTGCAGACAAGGGGTGCCCACCTCTTCTTCCGGGTCACTGTGAGGTTTTTACTGCTGTCTGTATCCTCATTAGAAATATTTAATCACACTTCCTGTCCTGGAGACAACAGGAAGTAAGAGGAAATCTACCCCTAGGAAGGGAAATTCACTACTGTAAGAGTTATCATGGGAAAACGGTGTCTCCACTGAAGCTAAACCCAAAATTTGCAATATCCAATCGTCACTGGGGCAGAAAGTGAGGTAAAATCTTATGTACAGGGGCACACACAGCAACACAAACTTTACAGGGGCTAAACCCTTCCCTATGCTATCCAAAACAAAAATACATTTTTTTTTGGGGTGGAGTTACACTTAAAAAATGTACCTGTTCCAACTTACATACAAATTCAACTTAAGAACAAACCTACAGTCCCTATCTTGTGTGTAACCCGGGGACTGCCTGTAATTTCATTTTCTTTCTTTACTCTTCCTGTTGTTCCCCCCAAATATCCCATTTTTTTCTACCTCTTTTTCTTTAATATTACCTTTCTTATGCCTTAGTGTCATTGTGCTTTATTATATAATGCTGTGGTGGATATGACTTCTCCCATAACTTTGAACTACTAAGAACATTATGCGACAGTTTATGGACTTATATTGTTTTTATTGTTTCCTGAATATCTTTGGATATAGTTTGGACTTGATACATATGGATAGCTTTTGTGTAAGCTACCTTACTACCTCATTGTACTGTACCTTGCTATCTCCCCGCTTGCCCTGATTTGTTTTTTTT